CATATGTGGATTTTAGACATAGAGTAAAGGATTACCATCCTACAATCCACACTGCCAGAGAAGCTAGGAAACAAGGAGGACCCTAAGAGAGACATAAATAGTCTCCTGGAGAAGGGGAAAGGGTCAAGTTCCCCTGAGCAAATTGAGAGCACTGGAAGAGGAGGCAGGGAACTTGAGAATGAGAAGGGAAGAAGAGAAAGGATGCAGAGGTCATGAGGGAGCAGAAAGCTTGATTCAGGGGAAGAATAGAAGAAAGGATATGTGATAGGTAGGGTTTTAGTTGGGGGGTGGTAGGGGAGGACGGGAGGTAGAAGGGAACTGGGATTGGCATGTAAAACATCCTTGTTTCTAACTCAAATAAAAAAAATTCTGAAAAGAAAAAAAAAAAGTCTTCCAAGTCAGTGGTTCTCATCAAGGGGAGCATACAATCCTCTCCCTTCAAATCCAGTCTTTTGGTACTATCTAAATACATTTTGTTTAGCATCACTAGGAAGTGCAACTAGCATCTAGTATATAGCAGCTAATGGTTTTAAACATCCAACAATTCATAGGAGTTTTCTACTTATTTATCAACCTATAATGTTGACAGCAGGACTGGTTTTCCAGGCATTCAGCCTGATCATTCAACAGCATTCAGCTCTCAGAAGGGCTTTGAACTTTTTTGGTGCTCTCCTGAAGCCACAAGGACAATCTTAGTAATTTGAGGACAAGGAGGGGCTAGGTGTTTTCATCTTGACCTGGTCACATACCCTGTGGGCAGTTTGGTCAATAGTTTGGAGGCTGAAAAGCCCTTTCTAGCCTTGGCAATATAAATGTGGAGACAGGGATACCATCAATGCCCTAGAAAGCCATACTCTACAGATGGAGGTTCTTGGCCATGTGCTGTGATCGAAGAAGATTGAAGAAGAAATGGATCCAGCCCAGGGAATTAGGAAAGGCTGCTTGGGTCAAGTGTCATTTTTAGAAATCAACTTTATGGATAAAAGATGGAAGGAGATCTCAATAAAGGAACAGCATGGCTCTCAGAAGGTAGAATGTTTCAGAAACTCCAGGCTATTCTTTGTGTCTAGAAGACATACTGAGATGAGAGATAAATTGGAAGGCTGGGATGAGCCATGTCACCATCACTTGAATAATCTCAGGAAAGAGTTTAAGTAAAACAGTGGTATGATCATTGTCTTAGTTTCAGTTTTATTATTGTGAAGAGACACCATGACCATGGCACTTTTATAAAGGAAAACATGTAATTGGGGCTGTCTTACAGTGTCAGTTTAGTCCATTATCATCATGGTGGGAAGCACGGCAGAACAAAGGCAGACATGGTGCTGGAGAAGGAGCTAAGAGTTCTACATCTTGATCAGCAGGCAACAAGAAGTGAACTGTATGCCACATTTGAGCATGTATAAGACCTCAAATCTGCCTCCACAGTGACATACTTCTTCCAACAAGGCCACACCTACTCCAACAAGGCCATACCTCTTAACAGTGCCACTCCCTATGGGCTGAGCATTCAAATACATGAGCCTATGGGGGCCATACTTATTCAAACCATCACAATTATATTTCCTTCAGAAAGATTATGAGAGGTATTGAATGTTGGTAAATGGATTGGAGGGACACCATCTCAGGGGTAGGTCATCATAAGAGCTCAGGAATGACAGGAGCTCAATGAAGTAAGACAGTGGCAACACCATGGGTGAGAAAAACATATCCGAAAGCTGATGGCATAAGACAGGATTTGATGATATTGGAAGATATGATGTGTAAGATGCATGTGTTTATTTTGAACGAAGATGCACCCAACGTGTGTGGCGGGGGGCATTTTCTTTCTACAAGGCCATATAGTACTATGTCCAGTGCACTAAGGGTCTTCCTGAATGACAAAGAGAATGTTCAGGCTGTCACAGGCCAGATGCCCTGTTATCTGGCCCACGGTAATACATACCAAACCCTTCCCTTCCTCATACTGAAGTTGATTTCTTGGCATATAATAGATAACTAGTAATGAGTAATTTAGAAACAAAAATGCCTTAAAATATAAAAGGAAGAAATATATTCTTTAATCAACACAACTAAGAATCATAGAAATGCAAATTGTGGTCATGGAGAGACCATCTTTGCTAGAAGTTGACTGTTGGCAATTTGGTAGACTTTTTCTAAAAAGGCACATTATGTGTGAGGTGACTTTTGAAAATGTCACCCCATCTATTGAGAAGCTGAATATTTCCAAAAGAACCACAATAAAAATTTATGGGCAAAGATACTTGGTGGAAGACATGCTGTCACCCTTGGGAACAATGCATAGGTGTGTTGCAAATGGAGCTCCTTAGATGGCAAGGCCCTTTGGAGAATCCCATCCATTTGGCGAGGGCCTATGAAAACAATATTACAAACTCCCGTGTTGGTCTCAGGGAGCTCATGGGCTTCAGGCTTCTCTAACTTTTGCTGTTTAATCCTATGGTAACTCTTAGTTTTGGTTTGTTAGTCATGATTATGTCTGAGTTTACTGGGAACAAAAGCCTCTACAGAAAAATTAAATTTCTCTGATCTGTTACAAAAAAACAGTTTCTTCGGTCACCCCTGCCTGCCTTTTCAGTCATCCTGAATAAGCAGGAAGAACTCACTAAAGGTTAATTATTATTGTTTATTTAATTCCAAAAGGAAATAGATATACTCCAAGGAACTTAAGGATCAAGAAAACAGTTTCTCAAAAGATGACATTAAAAACTTTATAGGAATATAGAAGGAAAAAGAGATAGGACATGAAATTTCAGACATGTCTCTGGCACCAGGACATGAACACTCATACTTTTTCTATATCAAAGTATCAATAAAGAAATCTAAAACTCCCAGTTCCTCTTAAAGAAAAATACATGTAGAAATTTCCAGAAAGAATAAAGAAACTTAATCCTAATAGTTAGTGAATTGGGTATTAATCAGTATTACTTTGAGAACTTATAAAGAACAGTGATATAACTATAATCCACATAATAAAGGTGACATACAGATTAATTAGAAAATGGTATACATCTGAAAATGATACCCTTTGTATCACGATATATTCAGCTGATTTCATATTGTTGAGAATTAATCACAGGATTTAAATCTCTTACTTTGTAATCACATGTTTGCTGGCGGCTAAGGCACAGTACGAATAAGACATACCTAGCTAGACATAAACATCTGGCTACCACTGAAACGATTTGAGGTAAAGGTCAATGGCTTCAAGGGAGTGGGAAAGAAGAGAAACTAAAATGTTAATGATTCTTGGAAAATGATTAAAGAGAAATGATTTGAAACTGCTCGTTCTGGAATACACTAGAACTTGTACAAATAAAGATGCCCTGAGCTAGTCAGGGCCATCAGTTTGAAAGACAACCGGTGGTCAGACTTTGTCACTGACTTCACACATCCTTCCTGCGGCACAAGCACTCTGGCAGATACTTATGTCCTCCTAATTAATTTATTTATTTTTAAAATTGAAGGTGGGGGAGAAAAGAAAAAAAACTGCCCCAAAACTGGCAAGTGAGTATAAATTTAAATGATGGAAACTCTGCCATCATCCAAATTTTAAATGATATCATTTTAACAACATGAAAAATGTATCATAGCATGACTCTAGATGTAAAAATAATTCAGTCAGTGAATATCACTGTTCATACAAGCTCCCCATTTCACCTACAGACTTCCCAGCTGGGGCTTTCACTATCTTTACCCTGGGAGTGAGATATGTCTAGAAATGCCAAAAGGAATGATGGGTTGGATCAAAAGGGATTACCTGGGGGGAGGTGTGGGGACTCAATATGTAGAAGGAAGAGCTTACCCCAGATAAGGCAGGCAGGGTGGAGCTGTTCTGGAGAGCTCAGGGGAGGCTCAGAACAGCCAAAATAAATAAATAAATAAATAAATAAATAAATAAATGTTTATTCCTTTCACTCATGGTTCTATGAGTACACTAGGTTGGGGGGGGCATTTCTTATCTGGGCTTTCATGTGATTAGTCATGTGACTGCTTGATCTGGAGTCTTCTTAATGCTGTCTGCTAATCCAAGACAGCACACTCAATGTGGCTGGAAGTTGATGCCAACTGTCCCCACAGAAGGGGTTGTCACAGCCTCATAGTGTGATGGCTGGATTCTGAGAAGATGTGGCCCAGGAAGGAGACCCCAGGAAACCAGGTAGACAGAGAGAGCCTTCTCAGGACCAAGTCTTGGAAGTCACAAAATGTTCATCTGGATGCACTGTTAGTAAAAGAGGTCATGAGACTACCCCATAGTCAAAGGGCAGACGATTAGGGTCCAACTCTCAGTGGGGTGGGAGACAGCAGGCATATGCTGGAAGGAAAGGACTGACAGGAGCAATTGTTCAAGCTCATCTACCAGAAGTCTTCAAAACACCTTCCACAAGACCAAAAACAGGCTTTGTGCGCTCCAAAGCATGACTCTCCAGCCTGGCTAGGATCAACTGTGTGTGGTTCTATACCTGGAGAAAGGCTCCAAGGAACCTGGGGTGCAAGGGTTCCGGGCGTCTGTAAGCCTTAAAACTGTGGCCAGAAGATACAGTTTCACCGTGGGTCTTGGCAGCACTGGGTACATACATACGCAGAGGCCTCCATTGTACACATCCGTGTCAAGGCCACAATTCTGAAAGTACAGAAAATAGAGTCATAGCTCTTAAGTTATTTAAAAACCTCTTAGGACATCTGAGAAGAATTTGGGAGGCCTTTGTAGGCTGGTGGAGACAGAGGCCCTGTAATTCCAGATGGAGGGGAAACCCTGTAAAATACAAGTTAGCTATTAATATCACACCTAGTTTTTCATGCCCTCCTGTGTAAAAGCAAAGTAGCATGGCCTAAATACATGAACACTATGTGTCTCAGAACGGATGTAAACAAGCACCAAAAATGTACTTACAAAAAAAGAAAGACTGGGAGAAACATTTCAAAGTCCTAACATTGTCTCTGTCATCTGTGATGTCAAGTATGTTTGAAATCAGGATGTCTTTAATTTTTCAAAGGTTGTTTTTCTGTATGTTCTCAATTTCCCTATGATAAACATACCATATGTATGATTGCAAGTAAGTACATCTTTCTAAAGGGGAAGCACATACCTCATCTCTAATGATAGTGTTTGTCAAATGAGATCACAAGAAAAGCTCTCCCCTGGCTAGGCTGAGAGTTAGAACACCTCCCACAGCTTCACCTTTACAGCCAGCCAGGTGAGCCATGAGCCTACCAGTTTGTGAGCCACTGGGTAAAGATGTCCAGAGTGGATCCCAGGAAAATGCTTACTGTGCCTGTCACCCCTGGGTCTCCTTGCACAGTCCCTCAGAAGTTTGTTTACTTGCATAGCCATTGGCCTTTCATTTCCATGCCTGTCTCAAACTCAGTACCTCAGAGGCTGCAGAAGTACCTGTTCGGCCCTAACCTCTGCAGGGCATCGCTGCCACGCTGCCAATCTGAAAGTTTGTTTTATCCATGGCTCTCTCCGAATCTCCCCTCAATTCCGATGAATTCCCCACACCTGGGAAGTCAGTCCCTGCATCTTCACTTCCTCCTGCAGAAATCCTCCCCAGGTAACCCAGCCCTGGTCCCTCAAGTGACCTTGAATGAGCCCCTACCCACCTGAGCCTATGCAAGCTCAGGGCATCATCCTCCTTACATCCTCATGGTCTCATTTACTACTAACAGGACAAAAGCCTTATAGAGGAACCCCGTGCTCCTGGCCCCAGAACTATGCTTGCTTTCTTCCATTACTCTGCACACCCTGCCTCTTGCTTAGATTCAGATTTGGAGGGAAATATGCGTGTTTGTGAGGTTGTGAGCTGTTGAGCAAGACTGCAAATTACCAAGAAAGTTACAATGAGTCACAGACTGAGAAGTGGCTCCTGGAGGAGATTCTTCAACAGTTCCCTCCCCCCCACAAGGAAATTTCTAGAGACTGGAATTTGCTCGGGGTATATGTATACAACATCTCCATTAACATCTGATAGCCTCAACTGGGGCTCCAAAAGAAAGGTGAATGGTGGAAATGTATAGCAATAAAAGCAGATTAGGACTGGCTGGCCTGGGGACCTGTGCCTTTCCCTCCAGCCACAGGAGGATAGAGTTGTCACTGGGGCACATCTGTGGACTCCAGAAAGACCTAAGTAGTCCACACAGCAGGAGTGGTAGAGGGAAGGTTCTGATCCTAAAGCTTTTGAACCAGCTCCTTTGATTCTTGTTTTCCATCATGCCTGCTGCAGACTGAACTATGCCCCTCCCAGGTTCGTGTTTTGAAACCACAGACATCGTGATTAAATCCAGAGACTGAGCTTTTGAAAAGATACTGCAAGTTAAATAAGGCCACCAAAGGACTCTAACTCAATGGGACTGCTGTTGTGTAAGAGGAAGACTTACCAGGCAGCTCTTAGCTAACCCTAACACTCCCTCCCCTCCATACACATCACACATATACTCTCTCTCTCTCTCTCTCTCTCTCTCTCTCTCTCTCTCACACACACACACACACTCACACACACACATACGGGGTGGGGCAGGGGACACGACCCTGCTCTATGAGGACAACAGAAGGAAAGAAGGAAGCCATCTGTTCAGTCCTGGGCCTTTTCCTTGGCTGCCACACTAAAATGAGGGAGGAGAAAGATGCCTAGAGCATCTATGTTGAGTATATCTACCTTCCTGTACCACGCTGTGGGTGCTTAACACATTCCAGACATTCCATCTCACCATCTTTGCATCTCCAGGGCCACCTGAGAGAAATAAACACCACCACAGACTTCTCTAGGAGGCAGACTGCAGAATGTTTAAGGGCTTAAACTCTGTCAGACCAACCTAGGTTTAGATCTTGGTGCCTGCTACTCTTTAAGTCTTTTTACTTAAACCTTTGTAAAGGGAAGCCTGAATGTAGAGCCCACTTCCTTGTGTGTTGTCAAAACCAAATGAATTGATTCACATAAAGACATTAGCAAGCTTTTTGACTTTCGGCTCGGAGGAGGCTACAGTGCAACTTTCTTCGGTTGTCCCGGATCCCGGTTCATCCAACACCAGCCGCCTCCACTATGCCTCCCAAGTTCAACCCCAACGAGATCAAAGTCGTGTACTTGAGGTGCACCGGAGGTGAGGTTGGTGCCACATCCACCTTGGCCCCCAAGATCGGTCCCCTGGGTCTGTCTCCAAAGAAGGTTGGTGATGACATTGCCAAGGCAACTGGTGACTGGAAAGGTCTGAGGATTACAGTGAAACTGACCACCCAGAACAGACAGGCCCAGATTGAGGTGGTGCCCTCTGCCTCTGCCCTCATCATTAAAGTCCTCAAGGAGCCGCCAAGAGACAGAAAGAAGAAGAAGAACATTAAACACAGTGGAAATATCACTTTCGATGAGATTGTCAGCAGATGAGGCACCGGTCTTTAGCCAGAGAACTTTCTGGAACTATTAAGGAGATCCTGGGTACTGCACAGTCTGTGGGCTGCAATGTGGATGGCCCCCACCCTCATGACATCATTGATGACATCAACAGTGGTGTAGTGGAATGTCCAGCTAGTTAAGAAGCAACAAGAGAAAATATTTCAATAAAAAACATGTGACAACCAGTAGAAAAAAAAAAAGATGTTAGCAAATCGCTGCTTGATATTTTGTTATTATATGATCCTATTTACAAGCAATCATCATGATGATGAGCAAATAGCAATTCTAATAGAAGGAAGCAATGATTAGTTATCTCTAACTATGAGATAACTAATGGCCAGGAGTTTGAGCTTGGAAGACAAGTAGGTCCTCTAGGCAGAAGGACAGCATGGGCAGGACAGGGAGACAAGGAGGAGTTCGACTGTTGGAGAACTGGTCCATACTTCAGTGTGATTGACATACAAATAGGATGAAATACTGAGAGAGGAAGTAGATAGCACAGGATAGGACCAGAGAAATAGCCAAAGGCCTTTCAATAAACCCAGCCTGTCTTTTAAAGCTCAAAGTAAGCATCTCACTGCACCATCCCCATCCTCCTGCATCTCAGTAATCTCTTATGTTTTTGGTTGTGAGCTAGTATTTAACAGCTGAGTCATCTCTGCAGCCCATCATCTCAGTAATCTTTAAACCTACACCCTTCTAGCTATTTTTTAAAATAGTCTTAATCTCAGGATTATTTGTTCCATTATTTGTTTCTCTCTCACAGCTCCTCTTTT